ATCGAGGGCTATAACCTCTTTCACAGAAACCGAACAAAGGGGAGAGGAGGCGGAGTAGCCTTATATGTCAAAAACTCTTATGCTGCAGAAGAAATGCATGACAGCAATCTGGGAAACCAGCTTGAAAGCATCTGGATAAGAATCAAGGGAACTGGGACTCAAAAAGATCTTGTTGTAGGAGTCTACTACAGACCTCCAAGCCAGGAGGAAGAACTTGATGAAGTCTTCTGCCAACAGTTGACCAAACAGGCACAGAGAAGAGATGTAGTAGTCATGGGCGATTTCAACTATCCCGATATTTGCTGGAAAACAAACTCGGCCAAGAGTACAAGGTCCAACAAATTCCTCGCTTGCCTTGCAGACAATTTCAGGGTCCAGAAGGTAGAAGAGGCAACAAGGGGATTGGCTACTCTTGATCTCATCCTAACAAATGCGGAGGACCTGATCGATGTGGTTGAAGTGGTAGGATCCTTAGGGGCAAGTGACCATGTGCTCCTGCAATTTGAGGTACAAAGAAAGGCCGAAACTAAGACAAGTCAAACCCGCATTTTGGACTTTAGGAGAGCTGATTTCCAAAAAATGAAGGAAACACTGAGCAGCATTCCGTGGACACAGATACTAAAAGACAAGGGAGTTACGGATGGATGGGAGTTTCTCAAGAGTGAAATACTCAAGGCGCAGTTGCAAACCGTGCCAACAAAAAGAAAAAATAGGACAAGTGCAAAGAAGCCAGAATGGATGTCCAAAGAACTTCTAACTGTGCTGAGACACAAAAGAGACATGCACAAGAACTGGAAAAAGGGAGAAATCACCAAAGAAGAATTCAAACAAATAGCCAACAGCTGTAGGGAAAAGGTCCGCAAGGCTAAAGCACAAAACGAGCTCAGGCTTGCCAGGGACATTAAAAACAATAAAAAGGGATTCTTTTCTTATGTCAGTAGAAAAAGGAAAAACAAGGAGGCGATAGGGCCTCTTCGAGGAGAAGATGGGGCAATGCTGACAGGGGATAGGGAAAAGGCAGAACTACTAAATACCTTCTTTGCCTCGGTCTTCTCACAAAAAGAAAGTCATCTTCAACCTCAGCAAGATGGAGTGGATGAGGGATTTGAGGACATCCAACCCCAAATTGGGAAACAAGTCGTCCAGGAATACCTGGCCGCTCTAAATGAGTTCAAGTCCCCAGGGCCAGATCAACTACACCAAGAGTATTGAAGGAACTAGCGGAAGTCATTTCGGAACCATTGGCACCCATCTTTGAGAGTTCTTGGAGAACGGGAGAAGTTCCAGCAGATTGGAGGAGGGCCAATGTGGTCCCAATCTTCAAGAAGGGAAAAAAGGATGACCCAAACAACTACCGTCCGGTCAGCCTCACGTCAATACCAGGCAAGATTCTGGAAAAGATTGTTAAGGAAGTGGTCTGCAAACACTTAGAAACAAATGCGGTCATTGCTAATAGTCAACATGGATTTATCAAAAACAAGTCATGCCAGACTAATCTGATCTCTTTTTTCGATAGAGTTACAAGCTGGGTAGATGCGGGGAATGCCGTGGATGTAGCGTACCTGGATTTCAGTAAGGCCTTCGACAAGGTCCCCAATGACCTTCTGGCAAGGAAACTAGTCCAATGTGGGCTAGGCAAAACTACGGTGAGGTGGATCTGTAATTGGTTAAATGGACGAACCCAGAGGGTGCTCACCAATGCTTCCTCTTCATCTTGGAAAGAAGTGATGAGCGGAGTGCCGCAGGGTTCCGTCCTGGGCCCGGTCATGTTCAACATCTTTATTAATGACTTAGATGAAGGGTTAGAAGGCATGATCATCAAGTTTGCAGACGACACCAAATTGGGAGGGATAGCCAATACTCCAGAGGACAGGAGCAGGATTCAAAACGATCTTGACAGATTAGAGAGATGGGCCAAAACTAACAAAATGAAGTTCAACAGTGACAAATGCAAGATACTCCACTTTGACAGAAAAAATGAAATGCAAAGATACAGAATGGGGGACGCCTGGCTCGAGAGCAGTACGTGTGAAAAAGATCTTGGAGTCCTCGTGGACAACAAGTTAAACATGAGCCAACAATGTGATGTGGCGGCAAAAAAAGCCAATGGGATTTTGGCCTGCATCAATAGGAGCATAGCGTCTAGATCTAGGGAAGTAATGCTACCCCTCTATTCTGCTTTGGTTAGACCACACCTGGAATATTGTGTCCAATTCTGGGCACCACAATTCAAGAGAGATATTGACAAGCTGGAATGTGTCCAGAGGAGAGCGACTAAAATGATAAAAAAGGTCTGGAGAACAAGCCCTATGAGGAGCGGCTTAAGGAGCTGGGCATGTTTAGCCTGAAGAAGAGAAGGCTGAGAGGAGATATGATAGCCATGTATAAATATGTGAGAGGAAGCCACAGGGAGGAGGGAGCAAGCTTGGTTTCTGCTTCCCTGGAGACTAGGACGCGGAACAATGGCTTCAAACTACAAGAGAGGAGATTCCATCTGAACATGAGGAAGAACTTCCTGACTGTGAGAGCCGTTCAGCAGTGGAACTCTCTGCCCCGGAGTGTGGTGGAGGCTCCTTCTTTGGAGGATTTTAAGCAGAGGCTGGATGGCCATCTGTCAGGGGTGATTTGAATGCAATATTCCTGCTTCTTGGCAGGGGGTTGGACTGGATGGCCCATGAGGTCTCTTCCAACTCTTTGATTCTATGATTCTATGAGGTGCACACACACTTAAGTTGACAAAATGTTGATGAAGAAGCTTGTTTTTGAACTGCCTTTTTGTGCCTATTCAGCCTCCCTTTCCTCCATCTAGTAGGGAATAACTTCAGCAGCATTAGCTCAAGGAAAATGGTGGGAGCCTGCGGAAACACAGATGTTATTTGCCAGGTTGCAGAAGTTTGGTTGCAGTACAGATTGAGCTAGGAAAGAATGCGATATTGCTTGCTAGTCGTGTCATAACTGCATGTGCCTGCCTATGACAAAAATAGTTACCTAGAGTTACCCAGATGTCAGCGGACTGATGCCCACCTGCGGTCTCCCTTCTCCGGTTCTGAGAAGGCGTATCTTGCCTTCTCCTTGCCTTTCTTTCCTTCCTTCCTCTATTTCCCTCATATTTCCTTCTCTCCTTTTTCTTTCTTCCCTCTTCCTCTGTTCTCCTCATACTTTTGTGTTGTCATTTCTTTCCATGTGACTTACCAGCAGCCAATCTGCTTCACTCCCTTTATTTCCCAGCCACATGATAGAGGGTCACTTCACCTAGCCACAGCCAATCGGCTTTGTTCCTTTCCCTTTCCTTTTGCTGTGGGCCCCAAAGCAGTGTGTGTTTCAGTTGGGCAATGAAGGGCATATGTGCCAGATCTGGTCCAAATCCATCATGTGATTTAGGAGCCATTGTGGCACAAACTGTGTGTGTGTGTGTGTGTGTGTATACATACATACTGATACACACATAAAGAGATTAGATTGTTTGTTTTGAATAAAAAAGTTTACCGAAACCTGTTTGTTGTATGAATAGGAATCTATCCTTGTTTGCTATGTGCTGTTTCTATTTTAGGACTATTTTAAGGAATTAGTGGCTAGAAATATATATATTTCATTAAGGATGTGTCTACACTGCAGAATTATGGCAGTTTGGCACCATTTTAACTGCCATGGTTCATTGCTATAGAATCCTAAGAATTTTATAAACTGGAGAATTTTAATTGCATTTTTAATATTTTTGTTTAATTCTATTTTGATGTTTTTATTCTTTAGATTTCATATTATATACTTTATTGTGTTGTCAAAGGCTTTCATGGCCATACATATGGTATTGCTTTTATTGTTAGTTGCTTTGTATCTCTTTTTAAAGAAATAATAATAATAATGTTGATGGATGAAGAGATGAGGCTGTAACAATGTAAAAGCAACAGCATTTTTCTAGGATGAATGAAAATGTGTTTTTCAAAGCTTAATTCAGATGTTTCCTTCTTTTCATAGCTTGGAATAAAGGATAGATGAATTAAAATAAAGGGTGCATTTTCTGTGTCCTTTTTCTGTGTTTATAAATGATATTTACACAAACCATTTGTTAAATGCATGTTATAGTTATTTATTTATGACATTTATATGCTGCCCTTCTCACCCTGAAGGGGTCTCAGAGCGGCTTACAAAATATATAGAATCATAGAATCAAAGAGTTGGAAGAGACCTCATGGGCCATCCAGTCCAACCTGCTGCCAAGAAGCAGGAATATTGCATTCAAAGCACCCCTGACAGATGGCCATCCAGCCTCTGTTTAAAAGCTTCCAAAGAAGGAATATACATACAATATATTATATTATTACCAGAGTACAATATCAGTATTATATATTACTATATTGTACTATACCATTATATTGTAATATTACTAGTAATATTACATGGAATATAAAATATATAACTATATCATAGTATTCTTATATTGTATTATATTATAACAAATATTATATGTATATACAATATATTATATTACATTACACTATATTATATTATATTATTAGCATAGCACAGGAGACAAGGTGGAACTGTCTTCTGGCCCCTCTCTCTCTTCACTCTGGCCTAGAGTAGCATAAATAACCCCAGTGCGTTTAAAAAAACCAAAAAACACCACCTATTCCCTATGTTTGCTCCATCTTATCCTGGAAATGGCTCAAACTTAGCCTCCTGGTTTTCTGCTGATCAGACAGTAGTATCTTTAAATACTACATTTCCCACAATGCCCTTCTTTGGAGGCGTGCTTTTGCAAGTTATATATAGCTCACTATTAAATGCCTGTTTCGAAGGATGATTGTTGCATTTAGCCCTAAACATGTCTAGAGAGTAGCTGATAAGAAAATCAACTGCCTGCTGTGTCGTGAATCGGCGTGAAGCTCGGAGGGAAAGTGAAATGTACAGCTTTTGAAAATGAAACACTACTTTCAGGAATTTGGAATAGACACCTAAAAGGGGGGGGGGGGTTGCGAAAGGAGGAGAGGTCCTCCCAAGCGTGGCTACCGGGCTGGAGCTGAGGAAGTGGAGTTGGCGCGCGGGGATTGTGGGGCGCGCGGCACTCATAAGGGGCGGGGCTTCCCCTGCTTTCTCCTCCTCCTCCTTCCGGATTGTGAAGCTGGCGGGCGCCATGAGCGGCAAAGAAGGTGGCTGCAGGAAGCGGGGCTGGGGGAAGGGAATTGGGGGAGAAAGTCTCGGGACTTCAGTGGCCTCTCTCGCCGCCTTCTCACCTCACCTCGGCCATTGGTTTTTCATGTTTTCCCTCTGCTTTGCCTTCAGCTGCTGACCCTTCCACCTTTTGGGCCCGAAATGAGCGTTGTTTTGGGGAGAGGGGAGAAGCCGGGCCTTTAATAACATCATCTTCTGGGCTTTCATATAGCAGTGGTTCTCAACCTGTGGGTCCCCAGATGTTTTGACCTTCAGCTCCCAGAAATCCCAACAGCTGGTAAACTGGCTGGGATTTCTGGGAGTTGTAGGCCAAAACACCTGGGGACCCACAGGTTGAGAACTACTGTCATATAGTATCTCCCAGTTGGGCTGCCACATCGAAAGCTAGGGAAGGCCCTGCATCTTTAAACATCGTGGGTGCATCTACACCAGAATTAATGCAGTTTGGCAGTACTTGAACTGCCCTGGTTCATCGATATGGGACTTGCTGAGGCACCAGCCAGAGAAGGCTAAAGACCTTGTCAAGCTACAGCTCCCATGTCATTGAGTCCGGTCAGTTAAAGTGGCGCCAAACCACATGCATACTAAAGCATGGATCAGTAGTTCTCAACCTGTGGGTCCCCAGATGTTTTGGCCTTCAACCCCCAGAAATCCTAACAGCTGCTAAACTGCCTGGAATTTCTAGGAGTTGTAGGCCAAAACGCCTGGAGACGCACAAGTCGAGAACCACAGGTGTAGTTGCTAGGGAAGGCCTTCATCTTCATCAATGCCCTGGTTCATTGCTATGGAACTTGCTGAGGTACCATTCAGAGAAGGCGAAAGACCTTGTCAAACTACAGCTCCAATGATTCCCTGTCATTGAGTCAGGGCAGTTCAAGTGGCGCCATACCGCATACATTCTAAAATGTAGATGCACCTCTGTGTGTATGTATGATGGAGTGTTGTGAGTGCTGGACCACAACCCGAGACCAAGGTTCAAACTTCTGCTTGGCCATGAAAGCCTGCTGAGCGGACTAAGGCAAGTCACACCCTCTCACTCTCATAAAACCTCATGGTTAGGTCGCCTTAGAGTCATCATGTTGGAAATGAAGGCACAGAACAACAACTACTATATGCCTTCAAGTCTGTTGTTGACTTACAGCAGCCCCATGTTTGTTTTATAGGGTTTTTTTTTTAAAAAAGTAGTCTGGTGCATGGTCTTTTTTCATGACACATTTTTTACAACAGTGGTGGATGTTTCTTATTTGTTGTTTATCATGTGATTCATCCAGCTACAATTTATTTCTGCTATATTTTCACAACACTAGACTTGTTATAGTTGTACCTGAGAAGAAGACAGTGTCACCCCCCCCCCCCAATACAGTACACCCTTTGCTGTTGTAATTTCATGGTGGTCATTGTTGGTCTTTATTGGACGTTGTGATAAAATGTGTTGTTAGTCCTGTCCATGCCCTTTGTGAACCTAAACATGCATTTGAATAAAGTTTAATGTCCACTGTGATGTGACATGCTTAGCATCTCAGCTTTGTACTAGTTACTTTTTCTAGTTCAGGAACACCAATGAATATCCAAGTTGAAAGCTTCTCCGTGTATTCTTTGCCAAACAGAACAGATGGTTCTGACTCTTTCTATATCTGCGTAAAGAACAACTGGCTTGATTGTGCTCAAACCAGTTACTCACAATTATAGTTAACTATGAACATTGTTAGACCTAATATAAATCTGAATTTAAAATTTCGTGGAAACAGGGGAAAAGTACCAATGTAAGCTTTTTTAGTTCCTAAAATGATCATGATGCAATAGTTAGTAATGTATAATGGTAAAATATTTGAAATAGTAAGAACTACTAGCTTTAAGAGTTTGCCACAAATATGCATGTTTATCACTGGCAAGCATGTTTTCTAATTGTATGACATGTTGGATGAGCAGAAATTTTTCTCGAACTCAAGCAGTCTTCAGGTTGCAAAAATGAGCTTCACCATCATCTGCTTGGAGCCATAGAGTCATGTCATGCCTTGCCTCTAAACCAGATCATGCTACAATCTTCTGGGAGGGGGGGTCTTCTCTGTGTCCCACCACCCTCTCAAGCTCATTTGGTTCATATTTACATGCATTTGCTTTGTTTTTGATTTTTATTACATTGTGTCATGTTTGCTGTTAGCTGCCTCGAATCCCTGTATCAGGAGAGAAACAGGATAAAAATAAAGTAGATAAATAAGCAACATACTGAAATGCAACATACACAATGACCAAAAACACAATACATAAAACGATTAAAACATCAGTTTAAAAGAACATGGAATCATATAGTTGGAAGAGCCCACAAGGGCCATTCAGTTCAACTCTCTGATGTGCAGGAACACCCAATCAAAGCAATCCTGACAGCCTTGGTTTAAGATCAGTTCATTAAACAACCAGTACATAATTTAAAATGCATAATTTAAAGGCAATAATTTAGTGTGGTCAGAAATAGTGGAAACTGGTGAAAGAGGTCACAACATCTTCAGTTCCTGAGACTATTATATTAAATCATAAGAGTTGTAGAGAGTGGCTCTGAAGTTCAGTGTACTGTAATATCAATAGTCAGATCTTGCCTTAAAGTCAGAGGCAGGATTGGTGGAGAGCACAATTGTCTGTCAACATTTGTGGATACTTCATTTTCATAAGATTTCTTCATCTTTATAGGAACAGGTGGCTTTAGAAAAAGGAAGCACGACAATTTCCCTCATGGACATCGAAGAGAAGAAAAAGATAACCTTAATTATTCTTCGGCTGTAATCATGGCCTTTAAATGTAAGTAACTATTGAAAGGCCTGAGGGTAGATTCTTATATGCAGACTTCTCACAAGTTCTCCTGTGATGTATAGAACTGCATGGGCTGTGGACATTTCCATAGCTGGGGAAACTAAAACATATTGTCCAATTGTAGACTTGACTTGAAACTATCTCCCTTTATTACCAGATTCACACTAGGGTTGCATGTGCCACTCTTATAATAAAGAAACTGCACGGAGGGAAGAAACAATTCATATGCATTTGGCCCTGACTCTCATTGTTTACTTAAGTTTCTGAAATTAATGAGCCAGAGAACTGAAGATACAAATTAGAGTGTTTTGTTAAAGACAAGAATTAGGATTCAGCAGCCTTCTTGTCTGCAAAGAACAAATCAAATTTGGCTTTGCACACTTGATGGAAGAATAGTTTTATATAAATCCCAAGTATTTTAAATATTCTATTAAAAATCTCTGGCTTGGGTTTTTTTTTTGGGGGGGGGGGAGGATTGACTCCATGAATGTTATTTTTTCATGTATTATCAAGCAACTGTGCTTGTCTGCATTCTGTTCCCTTTAGCATTTCAGGTGGAGCTTGATACAAGACATGACAAATACGAAAGGCTTGTGAAACTTAGTCGTGACATAACTATTGAAAGTAAAAGGACCATATTCTTATTGCACAGGATTACTAGGTGGGTGATCAGGAATTTTCATAATTGTGTTATATATGTCTAGGGTGACCATATGCAGTGCTAGATAGTGTTACCCTTTTCTTTAATTCTTGGCATAAAATTGGTTCGAGGCTAAGAAAAAAAATCCTAGCTGTGCACAGATGATGAAAGTATATTTTTCACTCTTGTGCAACCATTAAAATGTTCAGGAACTGTATTGCCTAATGATAGCTTTGGATATTTTTTTTTGTTTCTGCATTTGTAATATGCCTTTTAATTATTATTTTTAAACCAGCAAAACAACAATACTTGCTTTGCTGACAAAGACAAGCCACCAGTACACATTGGTGATGAAAATAAAACCACAACTTTATTGATTTCAGCTACAGGATAGATTGGCATTTTCATGGGACCAGATCCACGCATTTGCACATTTGCCTACTGTCTATGTCCAAAACCAAGAATAGCAACGGGGGGAAATCCACATGGACAGATATCACTTTTGGCTTTCCCTGTCACTTGGGTGTGGTGAAGTGAACGTCTGACCACCTGAGTGTTGGTTCCCGTTGTCTGCACTACCACATTTCCATAAAGGGACTCTTTCCACTGTTCGTTGGACCTACCAACCTTCCAAACATCTTCCTGGATCTGAACACCATGGGCAGTCACCTAAGATAAAAGTTGTGACAATTGCATATGACTAAGATAAATACAGAGAAATATAGATCGTGGGTAGGATTGATCTCCTGAATAGACTGAGACTGCAGTGCCAAGAAGCTTACTTAAATACACATGCACTGCCCCTGAGTGAAAACTTTGGCCGTGGTCCTGCCAACCAGTCCATAGCTTTGATATTGACTGGCATTTCCCACTATTCCCAGAACCCATGCAAAAATGCATTATCTTCTGAGAAGGCAAAACCTAGTTTGGCACCATGCCCAACATGGTGCAGGTGATCCAATATGCCCCCAGATAGCAAAGGCCCCTCCTGGCAAGTCAGGAAGCATCTCTTTAAAAAAAACACACATAACTTTAGGGAAACTCATTTGGATGACAGAAATCTTGCCACAAAACTTGAAGCATCCAGGTGGTGAGATAGTGAGCCAGGAGCCTCCACTATTCAGAAATTCATTGTAAAGGAAGTACCAAGGAAGAGGGAAAAATAAAAAAAGCTCACATGTTGATAGATAGCACAGTATGGGAATATGATCTTTCCAAATGTTTTGTGGTTCTTGCTTTCTTACTCTTTCGATTGTGGTTCGCTGTGATGTGAAGAGATGAGAATCATTATAGAGTGCCCCCTTGGACCTTTCAAAGAAAAATGCACAAGATTGTGCAAGTTGGATAACTGGTTAATTGCATCCTGTCAAAATATTAGGCTTTGCATAAAGTATTTTCCTTTTTGCTTCCTACCATCCTGTTTCCTGTCAGATTTCTGCTGTGAGTAGTAATAGCAGCTGTGGTTGCTGACACAGTTAACAGTAGTGTACTCTAGCTTGCAAGCACTGTTACACAATGTGGTGATTATAATATAAATGACAACCAGTTCAGTTGCTACATTGATACTCTCAGAATTGCAGCTGCTCATGTAGCTGCCCAGATGATAATGCTGAAAAATCTAGACAACTGAAAGCTTGTGTGAAAATCTGTGAGATTTTACCATATTGTCTCCACATTTTCCTCCTTGTATTTTAATAATAGAGCAGTGTTCTAGGACATGAACCCCTCTTCTCACAAAACAACACATTAGCTGACCTTTTGCTGGTTTTTTTTTAAAAAAAAACTATTACTGTATTTCTTCAATTCCGAGACACACCATTTACCCTATATGAACACCTCTAAGAATGGGGTACGTCTTAAAATCACAGGTATATATTTTGTATTTTTGTTGGTGATACTAAAATTTGGGTGCATCTTACAATCAGTGGGTGCATCTCACAGTTGAAGAAATACAGTACAGTTCTTCTTTTATAACTTGCCTCTTTAATATCTATGTCAAATTGCTTGGAAACCCTCATGCCTTAAGGTTTAGGCTCAACTACAAAATAATAATGTATTGCTTACAGCATATTTTGAGGTGTAGATTCTAGTTTGCTTTGTAACATTTGCCAACCTTGGTTTTAACCCATAGAAGCTTAATCGGCAATTTAAGTTGTCACAACGCTCCCCCTCCCCATTCTTCCTATTTTCCTCATTTCCTCCTTTATTTTTGGCAACAGAAGATTTATGTATCTAGTTTCTGGAATTTTTCCAGAAAAAAACCTTCTATAAGGAAGAACTTTATATGATATTTAATATGCACCCTATTGTTGTTTCCTGACATATTGTTGGTGCTTTGACTTATAGTCATCTCAGGAATGTGAGTCCTCCAAGACACATTGTTCCTAATTACCTGCTAAGGTTTTTCAAACTCCTTTACTGAATTAGTCCAGCTATAACAGGCATGGGCAAACTTCAGTCCTCCAGGTGTTTTGGACTACAACTCCCAGAATTTCTAACATCCGGTAGGCTGTTAGAAATTGTGGGAGTTGAAGTCCAAAACACCTGGAGGGATGAAGTTTGCCCATTCCTGAGCAATAATGTGTTCTTCATCTCTTCCCACTGCCTTCTGTTTTGCCAAGCATTTTTGTCTTTTCTAATAAGTCACATCATCTTATAATGTGTCCAAAACATGTCAGCTCACTTTAGTCATTGTGGCCTCTAAGAAGACTTGCTTTATAAACCACTGAGTCTGCCCTTTCCTTTTGGGAATGTTTTGAGGTTTCCCAGCCTGACAAAATTCTTTGAAAAGCACTGGTGTTCCTTCATATCTGCTGAAATTGCTATCTTGTTTGTGCGTTGTGCCATTCTAGATGAGAGAGTATCTCAGTTACTTCTGAATTTTGGAGACAGAGAATGCTTTGGTTTCCTTCCTCATCACATTTTGGCAGTGATCCTTAATGCAGAACTAGGAATTATAGATTATAAACTTTTAATTCTGGATGAGTACATACTTCAACACAAGAACCATTCTTTTGTTTCAAGGTCATATGCATAAACATCTTTTAGTTAATAAATGTTAGCTGAAATGTGCAAAGGGATAGGTAATCTGCATTGACTCTCAGCATGTTCCCTAGGTTGCCCCCAGGGAGAGTTGATTCTATATCAAATAGTCCTTTGGGATTTAAATATTTCAGCAGAATTAATTTTCATGACTGGTACAATCAGGTTTGTTGTGTGTGTGTGTGTGTTTTTTTTTAAAAAAATAAGTATTTGGACGCAGAATGGATTATTCACAATTTCTATACTAACCTTGCTGCTTTGATGATTCCAGTGTAATTTTCTTTGTATTCCGTCATTGTAGTACTCCAAATGTAGAAGAAATACTTACGGAATCTGAGGCCAAATTAGATACTGTGAGACAGAAGATAAAACAAGTAGCACAAGAATTGCTGGGAGAAGATATGTATCAGTACCACAGAGCCATCTCCCCAGGTCTGTATTTAGAAAAAGCAGTTCAAAATATTTAATATGGTCTGATTTATTTCAACATTTTGTGATGTGTTCATTGGTCTTTGATTCTCATTAATTCTACAGTAAGTTTTATATGTGTGCCTTCAAGTCCTTTCTGACTTACAGTGACCCCAAGATAAGGTGAGACATGTCCAGGGAGGTTTTACCATTGCCTTTCTCTTAGACTGAGTGAGTGTGACTTGTCCAAGGTGGGTTTCCTGATTAGGGATTTGAACCCTGATCTTCAGAGCCCCAATCTATCACTCAAACCACTACACGACACTGCATATTATAATATGAAGTGCACTATGTGTGCCTCATAAGTAACATGTTAATTTCTTTTGTGTCCCCCCCCCCCCACCGTGCTTTGACACTTCCTATCAGTCTCCCCCCCCCCCTTTGGTTCCACACCTGCTGCATTAACCTATGTTTTTAAATTGTTTTCTAATCTGTTTTTTTAATAGCTGCTTCACTGGGGAGCTGTTTCCTCCTCCCAGAGGGCTTGTGCCTTCCTTTGTGCTGGTCAGTGACCATAATAAAATTTTGTTGTTGTTAAACAAATTTCTTTAGCTGTCCATATATATAAAAAACAAAAACAAAAAAAACCCAACCACATATTTAAGGTATTCTTAATGTAATGTAGGCATAATTGTTTTACTCAATTTTTAAAAAACCCAAGATTTGTGTTTCAAAGTAGTAGTAAGTAATCTCAGACTTCCTAAAAAATATTGTTCACTGGCCAGCATGAAATATTTCTCCTCCACTTCTCTTTAAAACAGTTCAAGGACACCAAATCACTCTTCCATGGAAACAGCCTTTTCTTTTATGGAGTTACAGTAGTTGGTCCTTTATTAAAAGCAAACAAACAAACCTGCTGGGGATGTGCAAGTGTTTAGTGCAACAACTGTATGCCTATAAATAGAAGTGCTGTAAGTACAATTCTTGGGAGTTGTGTTTGCCATCTGTAGCTGTGACATGCTTTTTTTGGGGTTACTCCAAGCCGTTGTTCTTTTGACTTAAAGATAAGACAATTCTGGCAGAGCACTAAAGAAATTTCAAGCATTCTCTCATTAAGAATAGCGCTAATGGCACGCAGAACATTTCCCTGAAGGATACTTGCTTGGACTCAAATGCTGAGTATAGTACTAATAATTGAACAATAACAAAAATGATGCCTGTTTTCTGCATGTTGCTTAACAGTACAGATTGTCCCAAGGGATGATTAAATAACCAAACAAAGAGATACTGAAATAACTATTAAAAAGCAGCACCACAGAACTTCTTCTGCACGTTGTTCAGAATATTGTTCTTTGCTACTACTTTTGAAGTTGAAATAGAATCAGTGTCTTAATTTATATTATCTAAAAGACATATTCCCTTGAGCAGAAGAAAGGAAAAGCTATTCAAAGGCCTAATACAGCTAAAGCCTGGTTTGTCAACCACCCATGGGATGTCCCTTCCATGCCAAAGTTTCCCCGCCCATTTGACTTCCTTGTTGGGAAGGGGAGAGTTCTGATCACTTATCAAAAGAATAAGGGTTCATTCTCATTGGGAAAGCAACTGGGACAGAAATTACTGCTCTCAGTGTGGTGACTGGGGAGTGGCAGATGCAATGTGTAGTAAGGTCCAGTTGTGGTGGGAACCTATCTCCTGGGTCCTCTCCGCTCTGATGACCAACTAACTGACTTCTGAAAAAGGAAAAAAAAACACTTTATGAGAAAGGCAGGAAACTCTCTGTACATGTTCAGAGACAATGGGTCTTCACATTCATCTTTGAAAGCAAGGCATTTCCTTTCTTAGATGAAAGGTTTCCCGGAGAAGCATTATGTGATTCTGATTGGTTGTATTGTATATTATTATTACTACTGGTAATTAGCATTTTCAATATTGTTCAAACATGTAAAATACTTACCCTGCATCAGCTCAGAAGTTTTACAGCAATCCTAACCTTCAGTCAGGTCAGTATGATTATTTTCATTTTGCAACTGGGATGTGATTATGCTCAGGATATGCGCAATTAAGTAATTTTAGATGCTTTATACTTTGTGGAACACCCAATTCCTGGGAAAACTATGGTTACTGAACATCTGCATTTCCTGAAGCTTTTAAAAGTTCAGAGGTTGTGTAGGTAGAACAGAGGTGAATGAAAGGGGTCATACAAGGCACGCAAACACTCTGTGTTGCAAGTTTTGACCTGTGCATTAGATAGAAAGGATGATCTTTGTCTAGGCAAGTCAATCAAGGCATGAACCAGAAATATTGCCTCCTTGTCAACAGAGAAGCTGAGCAATGAATAAGTGGGTTGAGGAGCAGACTGTAGACTGTAAAAGTGAATTAAATGGAAAATGCTCTAGGTTGTGAGGAAGGAGATAGTTTGATGTAAGAGTCTGAAGGGAGAAAAGTAAACCAGGACAAAGCATGTGTTATGAAGGCATGGAAGCCCGAGATCAAACAATCTTTGACTTGTAGGCTTCTAATCTTACTAATTTGTGTAAAAACTTCAAAATAACAATAAACATGTATTGTATACAGGTTTTCAAAACAATAGGTATAGAGCACTTGTAGCCCAGAATAAACTGGTAAGATGACACAAAGAAGACTCACTGGGAAATAACCTGGTTCACAAGACCATAACAAGCTAAGGCAGCTGAATAACACAGGAACAGGATGTAGCTAAAGAATAAATTAAGTTCATCTATGCGTTCTTTTGAAGAGTAGAGATAATAATAGAGATACAACACCAAATGTGGAAATGCAGTTTCCTGATAAGACTACTGAAGAGAGTAATTTCATCACTCTTCAGGCTTCCTGCATCAATTATTTGAAGTTATTTACTCTCATACCTAAGAACTCTCTGCTTTGAGTCGCCTTCAGGCTGAAATGGGCGGGATAGAAATGATGTAAATAAATAATAATAAATACTTTTTTTCTAGCCCAGGGATCTCCAAACTAAGGCTTGTGGGCTGGATGTGGCCCTCCAAGATAATTTACCTAGCCCCTACTCTAAACTAAACTTAGGGTTGCCCTTAGTCTGAAACGACTTGAAGGCACACAATAACAACAACCCTAATTACCTTGACTATCTCATTAGCCAAAAACAGGCCCACACTTCCCATTGAAATACTGGTAAGTTTTTGATTGTTAAAATTGTTCTTCATTTTAAATATTGCATTGCTCTTTCATTTTTTTTTTGCTACAAATAAGATATATGCAGTGTGCAAAGGAATTTGTTCATTTTTTTTCACACTTTAGTCCAGCCCCAAACAGTCTGAGGGGCTGTGAGCCATCTCACTGCTTAAAAAGTTTGAGGACCCCTGCTCTAGATAATTGAGCAGTTTTCTTCTTCATTACTTTAGAGACGAACTAGGCTTTTTCTTGGTAAATTCTAGCCTGACATAACTCAGATTACCTGGAATTCTGAGCGTTTTTGGCTTCATCCCTTTGAAAAATAATCTTCATAGCTACCATTCGATTTTCTTGGACAGCTGAATAGTGAAATACTTGGTTAGTACAACCCATTTGGTTTATATACTATAGGAGTCAAACCAACTATACACTTAGAATACTCAGACCAAAACTAGAAGATATGTGGAGTGGGCTGGGGCCATATTTCGCTCATCTCACTGTAGTTTTTTTGTGTATATTCAGAACTAGCTCCACAGGGCTGGGAGCCCCATCCCAAACGTGTTTGATGCTATGAAGGACTTTGTGGGGGATGAAGTTGAAAAAGTTACACTTGGCAGAATTTTAGACTAGCTTTATGTAAGGTCCCTTACTTGACCATTTTAAAGGGATACTTCATTTAAATGTCAGTGAATATTGAAATAAATGAAAATACAGTAAACAGCAAAGTGACTATGGCTGCTGCATGATTGAGAGAATAAAGTAACAAGTCAACAGTATGGGGATAATATTATATAATTAGATCACCGTATTTGATTTTTTTATTGGAACCATTTTTTTCAGGACTGCGTTGAGGTTTTTCTTATGGTACAAGTTGTTTAAATTTCTGTGAAATGTCTAGATATGTCAACATACTCTTATATCTTAATCCACTCTCAATCCAAATTCATTGAATGTGATTGTTAGAATTAAGTTTTGGGTCCAGTTCGTTTTAATGTTGGATTTTGCCCATAGTCATAGCATTTTGGGTTACTTTTAGACACCCATCTTCTAATCCTATTGAGTTTTTTATTCTTCCAAAGGTGGATAGATTTAATTAGTCTATTTTTACAAAAATATAGGGGGGGTTGTGATTTGTCAGATTTATTTTTCTTTCATCCTCAGAGCAATACAATCAAACAAAGAAAACAGAAGTTGTAAAAACAACAGATTAATGAAGCCAACAAAAATGAACCAATTAAAATAGGCAGCATTTGACTGGATTCAATGTCTGTTTAAGAGCAACTCAGTTTAACTGATAACCCCTACATGAATAAAGGAATAAAAACATGATTTGCATTTGTATTGTTGTGAAACATATCATTGGGGGAAGCACACTAAAGTATGTGCCTTCAAATTACCTATTGAATTAGTAGCTACACATTTATTTAATCTTAGTGTATTTGGTAAGATTGAGATAATTTAAAGCCAGACTTATTGTATTAGAGTGTCTGGATGGATCATTTTTGCATTCTTCCTCTTTTAGTATTTATATTTTTCAGCAAATCAAGTGGAAGTTTTGGAAGAAAAGTCACGTCTTTTTTGAACAAGCAATGCTTTGTCCTAATTAAAAAAGAGAAGTAAAGATAAAGGTTTCCCCTAACATTAAGACAACTCGGGGGGGGGGGGGTGCTCATCTCCATTTGTAAGCCGAAGAGCCAGCATTGTCTTTAGACACCTCCAAGGTCATGTGGCTGGCATAACTGAATGGAGCACCATTCCCTTCCCGCAGAAGCGGTACCTATTGATCTACTCATACTTGCGTATTTTCGAACTGCTAAGCTTACAGCCATGCCAAGATAACAATAGTCTTCTGATGCTATTCAATTTGCTTACATAGTAAGCACTCTGAATTTAGTAGTACTTCGAATCCAAATTTTCCACATCTGGCACCATAGTTTCTGTGCTGCATTCACTTATTGAAAGGAAATATTTAATTTAGGAAGAAAAGTGAAATATTAAGAAGTTCAGCAACAAAACTATCTCCATAAAAATAATTATAGATACTTAATTCCTGCACCTTTTCAAGAATGGACAGGCCAGTATCTTGTGGCGATGTCTTCATGTGGTGTGTTCACTAATGAGTACTTTCCCTGTTATAATAACAGGTTGCTCAGAAACTATACTTCTGAGCATTTTTATTGAAAGCTTCCCATCGTCTTTGTCTAAAATGAATACTTGTTTATAAGTGTTAATAATGCTACAATTTTGTATGTTTTATAATGTGCATGTTGGCCAAGATGCAATGATGCATTAGTCAATGCCAGAAGGATTGGAATTTGTTTTTCCTTCTGCTATAGCTGTCTCTGATACTGAAAGCATTCTTCAGAGAGTGTTTCAGACTTTTGGAGAAGATTTTTAGGATGCACTGGGATGGGATTGTGGAAGGGAAGTCTTTTTCCAGTTGGGTTGTTGTAGGTTTTTTGGGCTGTATGGCCATGTTCTAGAAGCATTCTCTCCTGACGTTTCACCTGAATCTGTGGCAAGCATCCTCAGAGGATGTGAGGTTTGTTGGAAACTGGGAAAATTGGGTTTATTTATCTTTTTCAAGTTCTTTGTCAAATGATGGAATCCAGTGGATTCTAATAGACATGCACTATTAAATCTCGACAATACGGTAAAACCATCTTCATATGGATTGGAGTAAACAACTTGTTGGCAATTATAACATTTATTAAATTATTTGACTGGAGGCTCTCAAGGATTCTAAAGCAAAATGTCACCATTTTGCCTTTCAGACTGTCTAAAAATCTGAGGAAGTGCCAGCACAAGCAATCATGGATTTTTAATTGAGATTTCCAGTGTTCAGTCAGGGAAAACAAAGTACACAAAAAGCAGCCTTATAAACTATTCTTTTACTGGCAGCATGATTCTTAAGTAATCATTTTCTTGGAAACAGCCCAAAACTGAGAGGAGAAGGAGGAAGGTATTGTTGGACAGAATAGTGAAATGGGATGGGGTTTTTTCACCTTAGGGATTATTTGCTGAAAGCAACGGATGTCCTTCCATTAACATACAATAAAATATATTTAAACATCCTTTTACCTGCTTATTAAAAACACCTTATGTCAAGGTCTTGGGTCATTTTAAATGTCATTTTAAGCTGCTTTTTTTGTCGAGGACCTCTAGAATGCACGTATTACATGCCAAACATATTTGATTTTAATGAGGAAAACATGGTTTTAGTGGTTGTTAGTGAGACTAGAATTGTTGCATTTTAGTCAGAAAAACCAATTTTTATTTAATCAGTTAATACCCTGCATGTGGGCTGGGGCCAATTCCCTCTGATGTTGATATGGGTTGCAACCACCATGGCAAACCATCTTCTTCTAAAATTACAGTAAAATGCTACTTAGCAAATTAACCAATTACATTTAGAAGGTAAACGTATTCAGAGGATGAAGAAAACAAGCCGAATACACAACCATACTTTGAATACTTAATTGAAATGTATCAGGAAAATGAAAGTCAGCTTATGAAAGGAAATGGAATAAACCAAATGTTGGTGGCCAGAGTTCTTCACATAGGAACCACATGTTGGAATCTTTTGTATCATAAAGAGACTAAAGCTGTACAGTAGCTTATCTATGTTCTGTACTCTTTTGATAGTACTAATGCTTTTTCCTCTTTGGTTTCTGGATGATTATCTCATAGATCATACCTTCTTCACCTACTAGACAATTTTATTTTTATTAGGAAATATCAAATATTCCTCACCTCACATTTTAGTTTACTAGAACATCTCTGTTGTTGTTAGGAAGATACTCCCAAAGTACTTTTAAACAGTATGAATGACTGCTGAAAATAGTTTAATAGTTCAGTCCCTACCATTAAAATATCCTAAAACATATTCAGAGAAAGTATAGCCAAAACTGCCATCAGCCAGCTGAGAATACCTCAGACTACTCATATTGTGTGTCTAAAAGGATCCTATTTTAACATGTCCACTGGCTATTAATCTGTTTGCAGACAAAATCAGGATGGCTAAGCATAAACCTTATACCACTCTAGTCCAGATTTTGTGATGGATAGTATTCTCTCATATGAATCTGTTTGAAATTCTTTTGAGAAGACACTTTTTTCAGCTCAACTCTGCTCACAGCTACATAGGGTGCCGACACTCCCAAGCTCTAGAGCTCCTTTCTGAGAGAGTTCGGACCTGAGCCCTCCTTGCAGTCCTTCTGCAGACCAATGGCAGTCTTCTTGTTTCAACAGGCATTTGAAACTAAGCCCATTGCTTACAATGAAAGGATCTCTAAATGTGCAGTATTCTTTCATTTCTTTTGAAAGAGTAATTCTTTTAACTATTTTGATTGTATTTATATTTTAATAATATTTTAACTCTTGTATGCTATGAATTATTTAGTTGCGTCAATCTAGAATTCCAGATTGGGGTAAAGGTGAGATGATGAAGATGATGACTACAATAACTACAACTAACAACCAGCATAACTGAGTCAAAATAAGTGACGTGTTATGCACAAACTTCGTTTTTATAGATTGTAAGAAGCAGTATCCTAAATCATATTGTCAAGTCACATAACCTGGACTAGAGCCATTTTAATTGTCTCTGGAAACAGACTGACAGCCAGTAGATGTGTTACAAAAGGACATTGTGTGTTCCCTTTAGGCAGTCCATATTTAACTGAAACTGCTTGTGATCACTTGTTAAAAACCCATGGAGTCAAGCAATATTGCATATTCTACCAAGCATATCCTTCCACATGTCCCTTTCTTGTCATTCACATAGGTGGGGGGAAGTAATATGAGGGAACAGAACCATGCTTGTTTCCTTATGCAGTGCAACCTGTTCTCACCAAATATGTATATATTAAGTTTTCAAGTTGGTGGTTCAGTGTCTAGTTAAAATATAAATAGTCCAAGTCAGTGTCAGCTGGTGGAAGGTATTTTTAATTATATTTTTCTACTTATACTTTTAGAACATATTAATGGTAGTGATTAGTCTGTTAAACAGTTTTACATCAGTAGTTTATACAGGGTGAGGCAGCATAACTTCCTTTTTTCAAAACCTAATAAAACCCATTGTATGAATCAGATTTTTTTTATAATGTAGGCGCTTACCTAAAGTTTTGTTTTACATAGTTTTGAATATCAAATTAGGTAGGTGACGTTCCCCATTCTCCATACACCGAGTAAACCGATTTCTGGCGTTTGTCATGACTCTTGCCAGCATAGCAGGTGTTATGTTGGCAATTTCTTCCTGAATGTTGGTCTTCAAATCTTGTAGGGTCCTTGGGCGGTTCACATACACATGGGATTTCGAAAACCCCATAGAAAAAAATCACAAGGGGCCAAATCTGGAGAGCGGGCCGGCCACTCCAAATCCATTCAAAAGCACGCTCCTCATGGTTCCAATGCATGATGGCGACTGAACTGTATCAGGACAAAACTTTATACTCCCGCCTCTCAAACGAGACCACTAGCGCTCCGCTACGTCTTCAAATGACTGAATGGCGCGCATTTTTAAAAAGGAAGTTATGCTGCCTCACCCTGTATTTTTATTAAAATATTTTTGGAGCTTCTTCCTGCCTAATAAAAATGGAAATGTCCTAATAAAATCATCTGGAAGTGAAGAAGATAGGATCTGTTGTGTTTTAAGGCCACGATCCATGATGCTAGAGGGAAGAGCAAGAGAGCAAATACTCAATGCAGTAAAAGGACAAAACACAGATAAGCTCCTGAATGGCTTTGGGCTCATGATACTGAAGATCCCAAATTAGAAACAGACTCATAGTGAATAGGTGGTTTTTGAGATACCTTGCTCTCAGACTCAAGCTTTATAAACCACCTCCAGCTTGAAACTGAACTTGGAAACAAATTGAAATAATTGAAATTGGTTTATTATTGGTGAGCTATCGTCTCTAAAGCATGTAGACAGCAGTCTGCTTACCTAATTTTACAGCTTTGGGCTCTAAACTTTTTTAAAAACAGGCCCAAATAGAGCTTATTAGAGTAGTCTAGTAGAGAAATAAAAGGCTTTTAATTAATTAATTAATTAAATTAATTAAATTAATTAATCAATAAAACAGTACTTTCAAGCTGCTGGTGAACCAACAGGACTCAGCCATTTAGAACATGTCTTTAACAAGTAACATGGATAATACTCTTTAGAGTGTGATAATTTCTTGATAGGAATGCCTGCATAGGTAGCATGATGCTGTGTTCTGTCTTCTGCCCCAGAGAACTCGTTCTCGGCTTAATTAGTGTATTCATCTACAATTTCCTTAGATTGGATGTGGTTTAGGGAAGGTAGCATTTCAACATCTCTAAGAGACAATAAAGTACTAGTAATCTTTAGTTTATAAATTGTTGATCTGTCCGTTTCCATTTTTGGCTCAAGAGTTGAATATCTCTAGTTTCCACTAAATATTACATGTATCATTTTGATTTTTATTGTAAAGGACAAGAGTGAAATAATATTTGATTTATTCTTTTCCCAAACCAGGTCTTCAGGAATATGTGGAAGCAGTTTCATTCCAGTATTTTATCAAAACACGGTCATTAGTTAGCATAGAGGAGATCAATAAGCAGCTGATATTTACAGAAGATAAAGAGGAAGAAACAAAGGTACTGAAATATTTGATGTGTTAATGACCTATAGTCCAATCACTTTGTGTTTAATGGAAAGAATATTCCGTTGTGTAACTTTTGTTGTTGACCCCAGTTCCTCTCTGTTTTTGATGAAAGGATGATTTCTAGACCTTATTGTAGCTTCTCTATACAGGCCTGCTGTAACTTCCTGAAATAACTATAGTGGTTTTTTCTTGCCATGTAGAATCTTTTGTATGTTGTCAGTTTTTCCCTCCAATCACCTTTCTTTCCTTTTGGCTCAAATGTAAAACTACTCAATTTGCTGTTGTCTGCTCTGTGGAAAGAATGTTTATGTGGACAGTTAGGAAAATAATTTGGTTTTTAAACCAGTTATGACCTGTCTCTTTCATGGGAACACTGGGCATGGCTGGCTTTAAAAGGGATCAGTTTGAAGGGTAGTGATAGAATCATAGTTGGAAGAGACCTCATGGGCCATCCAGTCCAACCCCCTGCCAAGAAACAGGAAAATTGCATTCAAAGCACCCCCGACAGATAGCCATTCAGCCTCTGTTTAAAAGCTTCCAAAGAAGGAGCCTCCATCACACTCCGGGGCAGAGAGTTCCACTGCTGAACGGCTCTCACAGTCAGGAAGTTCTTCCTAATGTTCAGATGGAATCTCCTTTTTTGTAGTTTGAAGCTATTGCTCTGTGTCCTAGTCTCCAGGGCAGCAGAAAACAAGCTTTCTCCCTCCTCCCTATGACTTCTTCTCACATATTTATACATGGCTATTATGTCTCCTCTAAGCCTTCTCTTCTTCAGGCTAAACATGCCCAGCTCTTTAAGCCGCTATTCATAGGGCTTGTTCTCCAGACCCTTGATCATTTTAGTTGCCCTCCTCTGGACACATTCCAGCTTGTCAATATTGTGGTGCCAGAATTGGACACAATATTGCCAGAATTGGATTTCAGTTGTGGTGCCAGAATTGGACACAATATTCCAGGTGTGGTCTAACCGGAATCCGACTAAATCAGTCCAAACACATCTGAATGCCTTTCTAAGGTCCTACGATGTGGCAATAGCGGCAGCACAAAAAACATCCTTTGCGGCCAATATTGCATCGGCGAAGAACCGTCCAGCTGAGCTCTTTCGGGTTGTCAGGAGTCTGTTAAATCCGCTGGAAAGCGAGATCCCTGACAGCTCAGGAGCTCGCTGTGAAGCATTTGCTCGATTCTTCGCTGATAAAATTGCGCTGATTCGGTCTGGATTCGACGTCACTTTAAATGCAGTCTCTGAGGATGTAGCGAGAGCATCTGCTTGTCCGGTTTCGTTGGATTCATTTCAATTGGTTCAGCTTGAGGATGTGGACAGGATCCTTGGAGAGGTGCGACCCACCACATGCATCCTAGACCCCTGCCCATCCTGGCTGATAAAGGAAGCCAGAGGGGGTTTGGCAGAGTGGGTGAAGGTGGTGGTTAATGCCTCCTTGCAGGAGGGCAAAATTCCAGCGAGCTTAAAACAAGCTATTATAAACCGCTGTTGAAAAAACCATCACTGGACCCCACTCAATTAGACAACTATCGGCCAGTTTCCAATCTCCCCTACTTGGGCAAAGTCATGGAACGTGTGGTGACGACACAGCTCCAGGGATTTCTGGTAGACACTGATTATCTAGATCCGGCACAGTCTGGCTTTAGACCAGGACATGGAACGGAAACAGCCTTGTTTGCCTTGGTAGATGATCTTCGCAGGGAGCTGGACAGGGGGAGTGTGTCCCTGTTAGTTCTGCTGGACCTCTCAGCGGCCTTCGATACCGTAGACCACGGTATCCTTCTGGGACGCCTCAGAGATATGGGACTTGGGGGTACTGCTTTGCAGTGGCTCCGGTCCTTTCTTGAGGGACGGTCCCAGAAGGTGTTACTGGGTGACACCTGTTCGGCCCCACAGCCGTTGTCATGTGGAGTCCCACAGGGTTCAATTCTGTCCCCAATGTTGTTCAACATCTACATGAAGCCGCTGGGGGAGATCATTCGGAGTTTCGGACTGAGATGTTATCTCTATGCAGATGATGTCCAGATCTGTCACTCCTTCTCACCTGTCACCAAGGAGGCTGTCCAGACCTTGAATAGGTGTTTGGCTGCTGTATCGGACTGGATGAGGGCTAACAAATTGAAACTGAATCCAGACAAGACAGAGGTCCTACTGGTGAGTCGTAAGGCCGAACAGGGAATAGGGTTACAGCCTGTGTTAGACGGGGTTACACTCCCCCTAAAGATGCAGGTTCGCAGCTTGGGAGTGATCCTGGAATCATCACTGAGCCTGGAAACCCAAGTCTCGGCAGTGGCCGGGAGAGCTTTTGCACAGTTAAAGCTGGTGCGCCAGCTGCACCCACCTTGGGAAGTCTGATCTGGCCACGGTGGTCCACGCTCTTGTTACATCCCGAATAGACTACTGCAACACGCTCTACATGGGGTTGCCCTTGAAGACGGTTCGGAAACTTCAACTGGTCCAGCGAGCGGCAGCCAGGCTGCTCACTGGGGCGACATACAGAGAGCACACCACCCCTCTGCTGTGTCAGAGGGGATTTAGGTGTGATCCAGTAAGTTGCTGTCACGGGAAGGTCTTTACAGTTTATCAGTGCTTTTCAGTTACTATTATCTTCTTGAAATACTATAAAAAGATATACATGAAAAGTCGTTCAAGTTTCATATTTACAAAGGAAATTCCAGCCACTCTTGCAAGTCCTTCGCATATTTTACCTATGATTAAGACAAATGGATTATAGTCTTTAGATTAAAGGATTTGCATTTTAAAAAACAGAGTTTGAGGAAGCTCCTGCCTGATGTCTCAGGAAAGGTTCACTTGAGTCATAGGTATAAGATAAGCAATTGATGTCGTCTTGGCCCTTGAGGTTTGAAATTGCTGGTGTTTTCAGAGGGCTTGTATGTTACTGACTATTAGTATTAAAGTTTATCTCATTTAAGCCGTTGACAAGGGACACTTAGCAGAGCAAGCAGCACAGCCATCTCACTGTTACAGATGACGCATAGAGAAGACTTAAACAAGAATCTCATCATTTACATTTGTATATTCAGCTACCTTGTAGAGACATACTTCAGATATTTATGGCTTAGTATAATAAAGTCTCAAGCTGAGGAACTGTGATTTCATGACACTCCTTACCCTCCAAAAATATAGAAGATGAAGGCATGCATGCAAATGTTGAAGGCTTAGGAGACTTCTAGGGGAAAAAGGTTGGAAATCATATTAAAATATAAATATTGAATTAGGAATTAATATTTGCCTACACAGAAATATTGGAACCTAGTCAAACATGTCAGACTTAGTCATACATGCAAGATCATTTTGTTTCTGTCTGAAATGTCTGACAAGTTGCAGTGTTTTAATCTGTTTTCTGTTTTGTTGACAGCCATCTTGTGATTGTAACAGTAAGCAAGATGACCACACTTGGAATCTGAAGGTCACTCCTGTGGATTACCTGCTGGGAGTGGCGGATCTTACTGGAGAGCTGATGCGGATGTGCATCAGTAGTGTTGGTAATGGTGACATCGACACCCCATTTGAGTTAAGCCAGTTTCTCCGTCAGATTTATGATGGTTTTTCCTACATAGGCAATACTGGTCCCTATGAAGTTTCAAAAAAGCTTTATACATTGAAACAGAGTCTAGCTAAAGTGGAGAATGCTTGCTACACACTGAAAGTCAGAGGATCTGAAATACCGAAGCATATGCTAGCGGATGTTTTCTCCACCAAAGCAGAGATAATTGACCAAGAAGATGGGCTTTCCTAAAATGTATGGAAAGTTCATGGCCCAAAACAGACTTTAGAATCAGAATGAAGTATTCTCATTTGTGGGATCTGTTCATTAGAAAAGTTTTAGGTTTCTGGCAGACCCAGTGATGTTTTAGGGTCACTTTTAGTTTAGTACTGTAATCTATTTTAACTTGTTCGGGTCACCAATAGTACACAACCTGTTCACCATTATGATACTTTATTATGTATGTTTCTTTGTGCTTTGTTACCTGGACAGTCTATATCTGTGATGGGTTGTGGTGGTTAGAGTCTCCATATTGTATGGAATTGCAGAAGCCTGTTGAGTCAAGAGGAAAATTGACTTTGGAAATGATAACAAAGTATGTGAATATTTCTTTGAGGCCTTTAATACTCCTAGTAGAACATTTTGTCTAAGTACTACTCTCTGTTGCTTAGTTGGTTTATATTCAGGAAACTGAGTCCAGTACAAACCTGGAAAGCCTGTTAAAATTTAGCCTTCTTATATTTTTCAGCAGAAACAAATTATCTTACTTGTGAATAAAACTATGATGCACAATGTGTAGTTTCAGTTCTATAGATGGGAACACTGTACAGTTGCAGAGATGTCTTTCTAACAGCAACTGCATTTTGTAGTGAGACGAAGTTTTAAATTGGGAATAGTGAGCCAGTTGAAACTATGGGACATCATTTGGCCCATGCTATGTGTAGTCGGATTTACTGCACACTGGTTTGAATGGAATTGCAGTGAAAGTGCTCTGGAGAAGTAACTGACTGCATATTTGTGTCTCCCTTTTTTTGGGAGGATGTGCAGTGGACATATTACCAATAAGGGATATATTTCTAAACTTTGACCAAAGAGTAGAAAGAATATTGGGGATTTGGGCACTATTGGCCCAACAAATTGGGAAGGTGAGTGATGTGGGTGATGGAAAAGAATTTTTTTTTTTATAACATGCCTTCCCTATGTACCTCTCATCCTCCCAATTGGAAAAACCAATAATGTATGCATTGGAAACCTCCCCATATTAGGGTTTGGGGCTTAGGTGCTGCAGAAAGATTGGCAACGGTGAAACTGTGCAGTTGCTTACTGTAGCAGAGTTTCTGTAACCAGCACCTTAAATCAACACTGCTTTGTTTGCCCTCAGTCTTCCTCATTGAGGAGAATACAGGCAGTCAAAGTACAACTAAGGGTAGTCTTAGTGTGATCAGTGACAGTTCATGAAGTTTGCTATCTTAGGTTCTCCCTAGTTTATTTTCCACTGGAAAATAATATGACACAGAGATCATTATGGGTCAAGGACTGTATTTGTGTATAACTTTGTGTATAACAGAAGGGATTCCTAGTAAACGGCATTGGAATGATGGGAATCCAGCTATATTTTTAAGCAGTGTTTTTTTACACACACACTCCTTTATTATTCATATTATTTTTCAATATAATTTTATAATGTAGGAAAAAAAGAAATCTGTAGGCCTAACAGTGAGATTGAACTAAAGTGAATTGGACTAGCATGTTAGAGAGAAAATAATCAGAAATCTGTTCGGAAGACAAAAGGAAATGGAACTTGACAGTATGTGTATAATTTATGTTCAGAGAATCTTTTTCCAAATTAATGTTTTTTTTAAATTTCCTTTCTTGATTATTTACATTGGCCTGGATCCTAACTTCCTGTTTATGAAAAAATAGTTAAATTCATGTTTTCTCTTTCCTCCTGTGTTTTCCCAAACCGTTCTAAGTTGTACAGAATCCTAAGAAATGTGGAGGGTGGACTGCCGAAGGTATCACTTCCTCCTTGTCCAAATGGAAGGGCCTGTTGGGATTCAAATCATTGTATGTAAAGGAAATAATGGGTGAAAGTATTCGATATATATTGTACAAACAGGCTGTTTATTACCCACAAGAGTACTGATGCCTCCCCACACCCTCCTTGCTTCTATGTTGCAAATCCTTACATTGTTACCATAGCATGATGGAATTTCCAGTGTATGATTTAATGAATCCAACAATGTTTTGTATTTGGTAATCATCACAAGTTTTCCCATGTAGTAAAAAAAAAAAAAAAAAAAAAGGGATACATCCAGTCCCACTCCTTTTACTGAATGTAATGAATGTTTCTATGGTTTTATACAATAAAATATTTAAAAGAACTTTCTTGTCAATAATGATAGTTCTTTGCCATTCATTTCAGTTGAGGAGAGGATGGAACACCTTGCACATTCTTACATTTCAAGGCTTTAATAAAAATGATTTGTCATCTTGCAACATGGTCCATTTATTACAGAACAAATAAAACATTTCAGGGATGTATTAAGTTGAGCTGAAAGGTCCCAATCTCAAAGTAGTTCTGAACACAAATGGCTTCATCACAGTTTACCAAAATAATGAAAGCCATTTTATTTGCTGTTTGCTTGTTCTTGGGAAATACACCAATACAGTGTTCTATCATCCAAAAGGCATCTCTTTAAAGTGGCTGTAAGAGGGGGGAAAACCTCTTGTATTCAGTCTGATAACGATAAGATGTTGGTTTCAAACCTGGTGTGATTTTTTTAAAAGACACAAAACAATTGTCAAGACAGAGTTTAATGGTTAGGTGTTTATTTGTGGAAGATATTGAAAAATTCAGCTAGTGATTAATGATTACAGTAATCAAAACATCCAATTGTAATACCTTGCTCTGTTTGGAGATAATAGAGACAATATGTATGATTACTTATAAATTCTTTCCTAAATATATTGGTTACAATAGTACAGTGAACGTTGTTCCTGGTTTTGGATCGAGCTTTCTTACCTTTATGGTACATTAATTTTAACACATGTTAATGTTTAGTAAGTTACTATCAGTTATGATCACAATAATAATTCAATTTCCCCCCCTCTGAAATACATTTAAATTTTGATTTCATTTGTAGAGTGGCCAACTACTTGGGGAAAGTAATACACTTCATCAAAATACTTACAGTAAAGGGATGCAGACTTGGACATTGAAAGATTTATTTTAGCAATTCTGGATGGTCATCTGTCAGGGGTGCTTTGAATGCGACTTTCCCCCTTGGCAGGGAGTTGGACTGGATGGCCCACGAGATCCTTTCCAACTATGATTCTATGATTCTTCCAGATGTTTAGGTGGAATCTCTTATTGTAATTTCAGTCAGTTGATTTGGTTTGATTTGGTTGTTTCTATTTGTCAACCAATCTAATTAATTTATATGTTGTCTTTTTCTTTGCACAGTATTCAAAGTGGCTTACAGCCAATTTAAACAAGGGTATATTTGAAAAACTTATTTGTTCTAGATTCTAAATAGCAGAAAGTGAGATATCCCTTCATATACTGGTATTTAAAATAGCTATAATGTCTAGTAAATTAAGCTTTTCCAAGGAATGGGGTAGAATTTTACAGAAAAACTGTACAATCCCCTCACCATTGTGTTGTGTGTTATTCTCATGAACTGTCAATGTTTCATGTAGTTCAGCTCTTCCTTTCAAGGAAATCAGGTTGCAAAACGTTAACTGCATTTGCATGACTGCTGGGGATATTTGGGAAAGTGACATTTATCCTAAAACAATCAAGGGCAGGATGCCAATTTTGTACCCTATTTGTTGAGTCAGTCATATGCTTGATATTGGGCCAAAACCAAAATATTGTTAAAACAGATGTTTTGCAAAAGCTAATTTGAACGCTAATATCATTTGTTGCCATAAAGTTCTGTATACTGGAAGTAACTTTCTTTTGAGTAAATGAAATTAATGTGGAGTGAAAAAGATCTCTTAGTTTAGATGCGCTATAAGTAGGTTTAATAACACAAATTGATGTTTATATTGCATCCTTACCACTTACATATGGTAAAATTTTCCTTTGGTATGAGAACAATAAAAGCTATAACCAGGAGATGAAAACAGAGTAGCAACTTCACAGCGATTATAATCAAGGTCTGCTTTTTTCCTTGGAAGATATTCTGATTTTTATAAACACAAAATTGAAAAGAATTAACTGGGATATTATTGTTATTGCTCAGTTTTTCCTAGATTCATGATTCACATATGTAGAAATGGATGTGGTTCCTCATCCCATCTCTGGATTGAGGGACTTCCATTTATCAGCCTATCTGTTTTCCCCTTATCACCTTTTGGTTTCCCAGTTTGTGATGATTATTAAATCCAGACAGGCAGGGTTGATATCAACACTCAGGCATATTTAAGTATTGGGATCTTAGTATATTTTTAAGGGAGAATGTCCATGCCCTCTGTTTATTTTTTGACTATTTATTATAGGCAATTATAGATATGAAGAAACTGAGACTTACAATGTCTGGACACTGAGAGACATGACAGTGTTTGGATACTTTGCTTTCATCACATTAGAGATTTTGCAGCATCTTAGAGACCAATTGAGATAAGAAAGTTGGTAACATAAGATGCAAGAATGCAGATACGGACCCAGTCTATGAAAGCTTATGCTCCCAACATTATTTTCTCGTTCTCTACAACATTTCTAAGCAGACATTTGTAAACACATAGGCACCTAAGGGGTTAATATTCTTGGACATTGCTGAACCTATTAGCATTTGTTACAGCTGGAATGGGAAACATACCTATTTGGCATAGCTTCATTTCTCTTACCAGCAATATCTGTCATCGTGTCCGGGCAGTTTACCAGCTCAGAACAGTGCAGCTGTTATTAACAGCCTCCACACAGTGCAACCTGACTTCTGCCTCTTCTTGGGTTATTATATACTCTCCCCAGTCTGTCATCTGTGCTATGTGGTCCTATGAGAAAAAGAAAACTATATGTCAATAACTGATCTCCTCCTCTGGATATAATGTAATCTTCTTCCAATTGGCTTTTAAGACTGGCATCCTCAAACTGCGGCCCTCCAACTGTTTGGGCCTCCAGAAGCCCTAGTCAGCTTGTCAAGTGGTCAGGAATTCTGGGAGTTAGAGGCTCAAACACCGGGAGGCTGCAGTTTAAGGGTGCCTGCTCTAAAGACAAAAACTAAGTTCAGTTAGATCTTGGTTTCTGACTGCTTTCCATCACATTATATCAATCTGCTGATTGCATGAGTCATAATGGCACCTGCTATGAGCTTATTACCATCAAATCAGTAAGTATTTGCTTTCACGAGGCTCTCAATAATACACATACATTTTCCAGTACTCCATAAGCTCTGCTTTCTCTTTCAGTCCTTATATTTCACATATCTCCAGAACCTATTATTTATTATTTTGTGACTTAAATTCAGCAAATTTTATCCCAAAGGGAAGCAATGAAAAGAGCAATGACCAATCTCGATAAAATAGTGAAGAGTAGAGACATCACACTGGCAACGAAGGTCCGCATAGTTAAAGCAATGGTATTCCCCATAGTAACCTATGGATGCAAGAGCTGGACCATAAGGAAGGCTGAGTGAAGGAAGATAGACGCTTTTGAACTGTGGTGTTGGAGGAAAATTCTGAGAGTGTCTTGGACCACAAGAAGATCCAGCCAGTCCATACTCCAGGAAATAATGCCCGACTGCTCACTGGAGGGATGAAGTATTTTAGCCACATCATGAGAAGACAGGAAAACTTGGAGAAAATAATGATGCTGGTGGAAATGGAAGGAAAAGGGAAGAGGGGCTGATCAAGGGCAAGATGGATGATATCCTTGAAGTGACTGACCCACCCATGAAGGAGCTGGAGGTGGCCATGGCTGACGAAGCTCTGGCATGGGCTGGTCCATGAGGTCACAAAGAGTCGGCAGTGACTGAATAAACAACATCACAAATCCGTGCTGAGCTTGCATAAATGGGATTTGTATAAGTCTTCGAGTGCTAATTATTTTATCAGTAGTATATGAGAAATAGCTGCTGTCTTGATACCCATAAAGTGGATTCTTTAAATTATTAGATGAGTTCAGGTTTGGCCAGGCTGCTTCTTGGCAAATCCTGGAAAATTCCATTCTAAGGCTATGATTCTAAAGTTACTAGAGCTGCTTGATTTACTTCAGACTGCTTAGGACCCTTTCCCTTTTTAGTATCCAAGTGGGCCAATTGAGTCTAGACTTGTGCTTTGTTCAAACACAGCCTTGGAAGTAGTCAAACAACACCCACTCACCTTACCCTCTTGATACCGTCAGACAAAGGAGACAATCCCTTCTAATCTTCATGTGGAAATGAAACCTAGACCTTTTCCGGCCAGCCCAGTGCAAGGTTTCACTAGTAGAAAAGACAGATGATTTTGGAAAACACCAACAAGCAAATTATTTTTGAAAGGATGCAAGCCACTCCTTATGCTATCTTGCAGTGCTGTGATCTTATAAACAATGTATTGAAGTTTGCAAACTCATGTTGTAAGTTTAGCAGAACAATATATCAATATCAATTAGTTCATAAAAGTTAAGCAATGTTTTCTGTGACTCTCATTGTACTTCAATCTTAAGCAAGATCTTCAGCCACTTCTACTAATTAGCAATGTTTTCTTTTATGTCCTCGTTTCATGCAGATACTCTTCCGGTTACCTTTGTCTCTATCACAACATTTAATCACTTAACTGTGGGAAGCCTGTGAAATGTAAGACAACATTCTGAAAACTTACAAAACATGTTTTTGGGTGGCTATAATAAATGGCTTATCCTTTTACTTTTTAAAAGACCTTAATGGCTTATAGCATCTGCAAATATTTCAGAAATGAATGCATCACCCCATAAATTTGTTTGCAAACCCATTTCAACATTCATTGCAAACTCACACATGATCTCTCCCATGTCAATTTCCCTTCCAAGTTTACATTCAATACACACAATATCAGTAAGAGATATAACAAGCCTTGCATTTTTTTTAGTACTAACTTGCTAAAATTCCCTTCGGTATATGCCACAGTTTTGGGCATTGCTTTAAAACTGGAATTTTGCACAGTTCATGAAAAATAATTGCAGGGTTGTTTGTTTGTAAATTATTTTAAAATGATACGTGTGGGTAGATTATACCCTTTTCCTAAATCTAGCATAGCTAGTAGCGAGGAATATTATGAATTGTAATCCAATAAAGACTTCTTCCTCTAGATGTAACTTTTTAACCAAGAAAATTCTTAGAAGAGAGTACAAAAGACCTGTGATCTATAAATGTATTCATATATATATATATTGAGCCTGAAAATTGTACTAGCAAATTGA